GGGGGGGTGCTGTAGTGTTGACTGACTGCTTTCTTTATTCTTCTGCAAGTTTGCCCCATCTTTACTGTCAAAATTCTGTCGTCCTTTCCTTATCTCTCCTTCTTCTTTTCTTTGTATGTTGCTCATTTAATCTTCGGCACTTATATGACCAATTTGTTTTGCAAGTGCTGTAAAACCCTTACTAATACTAAAAAGAAAATTAATCTGTTTCAGACAGCAACTACACCTTGGTTCAGCACTTTTTGGACTGTTTTTGTATGTGTTGTTTGTGTTAGAAGTGCTGTAAAATTCTTATTACAATTAAACTTCTTTTCCTCTAGCAAGCATCCCTGCAGTCCATGTTGTCCCCTCACCCCCTCCCGCAATCCATCATCCACAATCCATAATCAATATTCTGTAATCCATAATTCGCAATCCATGTTCCATAATCTGTATTCCATTATCTTTAATCGGTTATCCCTTACACGTAATCGATAATCTGCAATTCATGTTATATATTCTCAAATCCATAATCCGCAATCCATAATCCATATTCTCTAATCCATAATCCATATTCTCTAATCCGTGATCCATAATCTATATTCTCTAGTCCATAATCCGAGATCCATAATATATATTGTCTAATCCATAATCCGTGATCCATAATCCATATTCTCTTTTCCATAATCCATGATCCATAATCCGTGATCCGTAACCATCTATGTATGTGTGTGTGTGTGTTGCAGGCGTCGCGGTCCCAGACAGTGGTCAAGCTGACCGTGGTTCCGTGCCCCCCGGTGGTAGAAGTCCTCATCAAGCGGCCCGACGTCAAGTACCAGCTGGGCTTCAGTGTACAGAACGGCGTGGTAAGCTCACCCCGCTCCTCACGATCACACCAGTGATAGCGATGGAAAGAAGAATAATGACGATAATAATAACGATTATGATGATGGTATAATGACAGTGATAATAATGATACCATCATGCGTGGTAAGCTCATCCCACTCCTTATGATCACACCAATGATAGCGATGGAAATAAGAATAATGACGATATAATTACGATAATAATGATAATTATGATGATGGTATAATGACGATAATAATGACAATTATGATGATCGTCTATGACGATAATAATGACAATTATGATGATGGTATAATGACAATATAATGACAATTATGATGATGGTATAATGACAATATAATGACAATTATGATGATGGTATAATGAGGATTATGATGATGGTATAATGACACTAATAATAATGATACCATCATGCCTGGTAAGCTCATCCCACTCCTCATGATCACACCGATGACAGCGGTGGAAATAAGAATAATAATAATTATACTTTTCGATCCAGCGGCCATCTGGGTTCTAGCCCTTCGGTCTGTCGATATGGCAAAGAATTTACAGGTTTTAATCAGCTGTGTTTTGTCGCTGTATAAAGTATTTCCGATATCTGGGGAGGTAGGTAGGTGCTACGCGGGTCGCAAAGTGCAGGGCAGGTAAAGAGATGGTGTGGTACTGTTTCATCCTGGCAGTCGCACGACGGGCAGTCAGGTGGGGTATCCTTGTGGATCCTAGTTAGGTAGGAATTCAGTGGTATGTGTTGTGTTCGCAGGCGAAATATCGTGATTTGTTCTCTTCTACTCAGGGAATTTATTGCATCTTTAGAGTTGGGGGCTGTCATGTGTATAATGACAATATAATGACAATTATGATGATGGTATAATGACAATATAATGACAATTATGATGATGGTATAATGAGGATTATGATGATGGTATAATGACACTAATAATAATGATACCATCATGCCTGGTAAGCTCATCCCACTCCTCATGATCACACCGATGACAGCGGTGGAAATAAGAATAATAATAATTATACTTTTCGATCCAGCGGCCATCTGGGTTCTAGCCCTTCGGTCTGTCGATATGGCAAAGAATTTACAGGTTTTAATCAGCTGTGTTTTGTCGCTGTATAAAGTATTTCCGATATCTGGGGAGGTAGGTAGGTGCTACGCGGGTCGCAAAGTGCAGGGCAGGTAAAGAGATGGTGTGGTACTGTTTCATCCTGGCAGTCGCACAACGGGCAGTCAGGTGGGGTATCCTTGTGGATCCTAGTTAGGTAGGAATTCAGTGGTATGTGTTGTGTTCGCAGGCGAAATATCGTGATTTGTTCTCTTCTACTCAGGGAATTTATTGCATCTTTAGAGTTGGGGGCTGTCATGTGTGCAAATACAGTTCTTCCAGTTTTGCCCATTGCCCATCCATTGAGCCACTGTTCCCTGGTGTTGCATTTGATGATGTTCTTGGCTGTCTGTTGTGTGGTTGTGTTTGTGAGGCTCGAGTAATACATGTAATAATAATAATTATGATGAGGGTATAATAATGATAATGATATTATCATGCCTGGGTGCTCTCTTAGTTCAGTGGGTATCATGGTGGGTGCTATGGAGCGGATGGCCCTTGTTCAAATCCAAGATTGGGGGTTCTTGAATTCGGATCATTTTGTGTAGTTTTCAAGGCTCTCAGCCTGTCTGGCTTGGTCCTATTTGAGACTGGTCGTTAGAAATGGAGGTCCCGTCTCTTAGATAACTTAATAGTGTTGATTGGGGCAATAGACCCATACACGTGGGTGGTTGGCGGGTGATCTGGTGTGGTATGCTTCTTCTTTCCTATCAAACATCTATCGTCTTTATCTCACCTTCTTCTTTTTTATGTTTGTTACTCTCTTTTAACACCTCTAATCTTCTGGCGCTCATATGACCTTATGCAGTTGCGAGCGCCGTAAAACCTCTACTAAAACTAAAACACACATACACACTTACCTTCACCCCCCGGTGCCACTGACTGAAGTGTCTTAAGGTCTTTCCCAAAGGGGAGAACATTTAACTTGGTCTTATGCACAGTAGAATTGTAAATGGGCTGATTCATGTCATGCTCATAACTGCCTGATCTACTACAGGGAACTGCTGCTTTTTCTTTCCTAATCCTTACTATTGTCATTTTCCTCTACTTCTTTTGTATGTTTGTCACACTCTTGTGACCCACTATTTCCGGGGTGCCTTGATAGTCGAAGCAGACTTTGTGCTGTTGAAGCTAGAGAGGTGAGCAGAGCAAGCCTGATTCCCTGTAAGGACTTCTCTGTTGACACCCACCCCTTGGCGCTCATATGACCTTGTGCAGTTGTGAGCGCCGTAAAACCTCTACAAAAACAAAAAAAACCACTTACCTTACTCTTCAGGTCCTCAGCCTGCTGTATGGGGGTATCGTGGTGTGAGTGGAATGGCGTTGTCAACCAGAGTTCTCCATGCAGATGATTAGAAGGGGAATTTTCTCTTATTTCTCATGCTGTTTGTTGTTGCTGTCGTTGTTTCAGATCCGCAGCCTGCTGTGTGAGGGTATCGTGGTGTGAGGGGAGCGCAGTTGTTAACCAGGGGAATTTTCTCTTATTTCTCATGCTGTTTGTTGTTGCTGTCGTTGTTTCAGATCTGCAGCCTGCTGCGCGGGGGCATCGCGGAGCGGGGCGGCGTGCGGGTGGGCCACAGGATCATCGAGATCAACAACCAGAGCGTGGTGGCCGTGCCCCACGAGAAAATCGTCACGCTTCTTGCCAGTTCTGTCGGAGAGGTCAGTGGTCGGGGTTTGGGGGGGGGGGGGGGGGGGGAAATTTTTTAGGGGGGAGGGGGTGTTTGTGTCAAGGTCAGTGGTCAGTGGGGGGGGGGGATCTGTGGTGGGGGTGTTTGTGTCAAGGTCAGTGGTCAGTGGTGTGGTTTGCTCCTTCTTTCCTATCAAACATCTATCGTCCTTATCTCTCCTCCTTCTTTCCTATCAAACATCTATCGTCCTTATCTCTCCTCCTTCTTTCCTATCAAACATCTATCGTCCTTTTCTCTCCTCCTTCTTTCCTATCAAACATCTGTCATCCTTATCTCTCCTCCTTCTTTCCTATCAATCATCTGTCGTCCTTATCTCTCCTCCTTCTTTCCTATCAAACATCTATCGTCCTTATCTCTCCTCCTTCTTTCCTATCAAACATCTGTCATCCTTATCTCTCCTCCTCCTCTTTTAACGCTTTCCTCAGTGGGTAGTTGGCGGGTGCTCTGGTGTGGTTGGCTCCTTCTTTCCTATCAACCATCTATCGTCTCTATCTCCCCTCCAGTGGGCGGGTGCTCTGGTGTGGTTTGCTCCTATTTTCCTATCAAACATCTATCGTCTTTATCTCCCCTCCTTCTTTTTTTATTATCGTTACTCCCTTGTATCATCTCTAATCTTCTGGCGCTCATATGACCTTATGCAGTTGCGAGCGCCGTAAAACCTCTACTAAAACCAACTATCTCCCCTCTTTCTTATTCGTGTATGTTACTCTCTTGTAACACCTCAAACCTTCGGGACTTATATGACCTTATTGTGTTGCAAGTGCCGTAAAACTCTTACCAAAATTAAACTAGAACTCTTACAAAAACTTCTCAAACTAAGATTTGGCAGTTGTTTTGTTGATGTGATTTTCTGTAATGAAACGTTAATTCTTCAATCTGGCTGTGAGCGCAAGGAATGTGTGACCATTACTCACACCAGGATTCAGTTAAATGGTATCATTATAAAGACTTCTCAGGGGGCTCTCGTGGCCTAGAGGTTAAGGTGTTGGCCTCTCATTCAAAGGTCCCGGGTTCGATTCCGGGTAGCGACCAAAAAATTTTCTTCTCTAAAATTGTCTCCTTTCACCTCCTTTCCTTCTCTCTTGCAATGTTCCGTTGTCTGCTTTCATTTCCACTTTCTGCCCCCACCCCCTCACCTCCTTTGCCCCCTCCTCTGGGCTCCTGACTCTTTCTGCAGCCTTTCTACTGCTACTCCTTGGCTCCTCCTTACTGCTGTCTTTCTGCCACACCCCTGATCTTCTGGTAGGAAAGATCTACACCTAGCCTTCTCGGACAAGGGCGAAAAATCTCGGAGGGCCTGTGTGCAAGTTGCGCACGTTAAAGAATCCTTGGTGGTCTAAAATCGATAAGAGTAGGCTTCGGCCGCCACTCGGGCAAAATTCAAAATTTCTTACCAACTGAAAATATTCGGTGTGTCCTGAGCGCTCATATGACCTTATGCAGTTGCGAGCGCCGTAAAACACTTACAAAAACAAACAAAAAGACTGCTCATTTGCCTTGCTTTCAATGTAGAAAAAAAATGTATCGCATGTATCTTGAATGGAAATGAAGATACTTGCTATTGAAGGAGATGTGGGTTACCTGTGTCGGGATGTAAAGTTACAAAAAAATTATCACCAAAGTTTGGTGACGTCCAAGGCTTGGGTCTACTTGGAGACGGAAAATTTACATTTTTTGTGCCGTGGTCGACTTTTATTTGTAAAATCTAAAACAGAAAAAAAAATTTCAATGGACATAAAAGGCGTAGAGCCAAAAAAACCCAAAAAAACAAATGAAACAAAATTCCATAAAAATTGCCCAACGAGTGGATAAATGCTGGTTTCTTCGATGTCATTATGTTGATGAGCGCCTGATTTCGCCCGCACGCCTCACAAGTGACGACACGTCATGGAATTCCCCCAAGTTGCCGTCACAGTCGCTGACTACCTCGTAAATCAGCATAATCGTGTTGATACGGGAGTGATATATTTACCAAAACAAAACAAAAAAATTAATCAATAAAAATAAGAAAGCAGAAAAGATTTTTTATTTTTTATTTTTAAAGCACCGAGAGATGCTGATATATGTGTCAAATCATAGGTCAAACTGGTGTGTCTGTGTCAGGTCATAGGTCAAACTGGTGTGTCTGTGTCAGGTCGTAGGTCAAACTGATGTGTCTGTGTCAGGTCATAGGTCAAACTGGTGTGTCGGTGTCAGGTCATAGGTCAAAGTGGTGTGTCTGTGTCAGGTCGTACGTCTAACTGGTGTGTCTGTGTCAGGTCGTAGGTCAAACTGGTGTGTCTGGGTCAGGTCGTAGGTCAAACCTGTGTGTCTGGGTCAGGTCGTAGGTCAAACCTGTGTGTCTGGGTCAGTTCGTAGGTCAAACTGGTGTGTCTGTGTCAGGTCGTAGGTCAAACTGGTGTGTCTGTGTCAGGTCGTAGGTCAAACTGATGTGTCTGAGTCAGGTCGTAGGTCAAACTGGTGTGTCTGTGTCAGGTCGTAGGTCAAACTGATGTGTCTGTGTCAGGTCGTAGGTCAAACTGGTGTGTCTGTGTCAGGTCGTAGGTCAAACTGGTGTGTCTGTCAGGTCGTAGGTCAAACTGGTATTTCTGGGTCAGGTCGTAGGTCAAACTGGTGTATCTGTGTCAGGTCGTAGGTCAAACTAATATGTGTCATGATTTGGTGGAGTCAGGCGCTCGTCAATTTTGGGGCATATAGGGTTATTGGTATCATCTTGAAGCTTGTTAATTTGCCTTCCTTTTGGCGAAAAAGATATCAATCTATGTTGAATAGAAGTCGAAATATTTGCGATTGAAGGAGGTCAGGGTCACCTGAGTAAAATTGTCGAGAAAATGGCCAACAAAGTTTGGGAACTTCCACAGCCTTTTAGAGTCCATGGAAACTGGGAAAAAAAAATTTTTGGTGCTTTTAAAGTTTTTCAGTAAAATCCTCACAAAAAAAGTGTTTTGAAGTGGACCTAAAAGGTGTAAAGCCAAAAAAAGAAAATTAGAAAAAAAATTGCTTTTTTATTTTTATTTCACTATTTTGAGCGGCACCTGATTTCACTAAGATGCTTTCCATCTGTCTGTGTCAGGTCGTAAGATGATGGTGGCATAAAAGCTCTTCTGTTTAAAAAGCAACAAAATGTTTGTAGAAAAGACGGCCAAGAAGAAGAAGAATGGTCCTTTGCTTTTTCCTTGTTTTTTTTTTAATTTCTGTTCTGGGCCAAGAAAGATTTTTTAACCCTCTTTGTTTTTTTCTGTCACACAAAATTTTATTTGGTACAGGACTTTTACTATAAGTTGTTACCAGTGTTTCAAATGACCACACTAAAGAGTTTTAGTTTTTGTCACAGATCGTGTTTTGACTGTGAGTCTTATTTTGTGGAGTAGAACGGCAGCCAACTGCAAGAACCACATCCCATTTGGTCGAACCCGATTACACAGACGTAGTGGCGGGGGACCTGTTTCTTTGAGCTCTCGTGCACGGTTCTATTTTTGTGATATACGGGCTCGCTCATGCATAGAGAACACGCTAATAGAACACACATGCATAGGGAACACGCAAATAGCACACACATGCATATAGGGAACACGCAAATAGCACACATGCATAGGGAACACGCAAATAGCACACATGCATAGGGAACACGCAAATAGCACACACATGCTTAGGGAACATGCAAATAACACACACATGCATAGGGAACACGCAAATAGCACACATGCATAGGGAACACACAAATAACACACATGCATAGGGAACACGCAAATAACACACACAGTGAACACACACAACTGATTTTCAAGTCCCAAATGTTTCTTTTACCTTTGTATATTCTTTGTCTTTGAAACACTTGTATTTATGGAATGAAATTTGTACGTAACAAACAGATTTCCGAATCCTGCAAATTTATTTACTTTATATGCGTATTAGACTGTGTAAGGAAGGAATACGGCGCGCTACTGTATATGTATATGTGGGAACGTTTACAGTCAGAAAACATCTCACCAGAGTCTGTGCTGTAGCGGTCATGCGCTTCGCCGTTGCATACAGAAGACGCGAGTTCAATTCTTGTGTGGGGGAGAATTTTTATTGAGTATCTCCATCTTTTATCTAGTTCGTTTTATCCTTATCGGGCTGGGCTGGCCCTGATCAGCAGGGTCGTAGGTCGAAGTAGCCAGCCTCCTAAAAGATGGGAATTGTGTGGATAGGGACGCGTCATATCTACCGTATAAAATGGGCATCCCTTGTGATGTGTGTCACGTATTTACTGGGACATCCCATGTGATGTGTGTCACGTATTTGCTGGGACACCCCCATGTGATGTGTGTCACGTATTTGCCGGATGGGACATCCCATGTGATGTGTGTCACGTATTTGACGTACACCCCATGTGATGTGTGTCACGTATTTGTCGGACGGGACATCCCATGTGATGTGTGTCACGTATTTGTCGGACGGGACATCCCATGTGATGTGTGTCTCGTGTTTACGGGACATCCCATGTGATGTGTGTCACGTATTTGCTGGGACATCCCATGTGATGTGTGTCACGTATTTGCCGGACATCCCATGTGATGTGTGTCACGTATTTGCCGGACATCCCATGTGATGTGTGTCACGTATTTACCAGATGGGACATCCCATGTGATGTGTGTCACGTATTTACCAGACGGGACATCCCATGTGATGTGTGTCACGTATTTACCAGACGGGACATCCCATGTGATGTGTGTCACGTATTTACCAGACGGGACATCCCATGTGATGTGTGTCACGTATTTACCAGACGGGACATCCCATGTGATGTGTGTCACGTATTTACCAGACGGGACATTCCATGTGATGTGTGTCACGTATTTACTTGGACATCCCATGTGATGTGTGTCACGTATTTGCCGGACGGGACATCCCATGTGATGTGTGTCACGTATTTACTGGGACATCCCATGTGACGTGTGTCACGTATTTGCTGGGACACCCCATGTGATGTGTGTCACGTATTTGCCAGATATCCCATGTGACGTGTGTCACGTATTTGCCGGATATCCCATGTGACGTGTGTCATGTATTTGCCGGATATCCCATGTGATGTGTGTCACGTATTTGCCGGATATCCCATGTGATTTGTGTCGCGTATTTGCCGGACTTCTCTGTTGACATCCACCCCTTGGCGCTCACATGACCTGATGCAGTTGCGAGCGCCGTAATAACCTTTGTAAAACAAACAACCTCGTACAGTTTCATTGTCCTGCTGTGGTCTGTTGGTCAAGTCTGTTGGTCAAGTCGGTCGGTCGGGTCAACTGGTTTAGTTTTAGTAGAGGTTTTACGGCGCTCGTAACTACATAAGGTCATATGAGCGTCAGAAGATTAGAGGTGTTACAAGAGAGTAACAAACATAAAAAAGAAGGGGAGATAAGGACGATAGATGTTTGATAGGAAAGAAGAAGCAAACCACACCAGAGCTCCCGCCAACCTCCCACTTCAACTGTTTCTCCTTTGAGTTAGTTTGTGTCAGGTGTTACTGGTTACAGTGTCAGTTCAGTGGGTAAATACTGTGGGAGGTTGGCGGGTGTGCTTTGATGTGGGGGTGTGCACCTTCTTTGCTCTCAAACATTCATCGTCCTTATCTCCCCTCCATGTTTCCTTTTTTACATTATTCTCTAGTAACCCCTCAAACCTTCAGCACTTTATTGACCTATTAGTGTTGGAAGTGCTGTAAAACGCTTTACTAAAACTGAACTAAACGGAAAGATAGCAAAGTAAAAAGAAGCAGAAAGTTTGCGGAAAAATGTTTCTGATGTTGCGTTAGTTTCTGTCATGGTTGTATTTTGTTTGAGTCATTCCACACGTCTGTCCCCGCCGTTTTAGAAAAAAACTAATTCTGAAATTACGCAAACTGAGGCCGAAAATGTGAAATTATGCGATTCTGTTAATTTAATTTTTAACAAAGAATGATAAAGGGAAAATAGTCAGAAATTTTGCCCAAAAAATGATAAAATTTGGCTAAATTATGCGGGGTGCATAAAACCGTTGGGACAGACAGGTCTGTGTTTCCACTTGTTTATTTGTTTGTTGCTCTGGCCTAGTGGCTGAGACGTCTGCTCAGTCGGGTCGCTGCTTATTCCAGCGTATGTTTGTGGGTGGTTGGCGGGTGCTCTGGTGTGGTTCGCGCTGTCTTTCCTGTCAAACACCTGTGGTCCTCATCTCTCCTCCTGTGGGTGGTTGGCGGGTGCTCTGGTGTGGTTCGCGCTTTCTTTCCTGTCAAACACCTGTTGTCCTCATCTCTCCTCCAACTTTTCTCTGTGTTTTACTGTCCAGTAACAGCTGTTGTCTGCGGCACTTACGTGACCTATTTGTGTTGCAAGCGCCGTAAAACTCGTACTAAAGCTAAACTGAAACTGTCTGTCAGGGACAATGATGTGATCACCTGGTGATTTATCTGTGTCTACCGGTTGTCTTACCACGTTTTTTGCATAATACCTGATGTGTGAGGTATCTGATACCTGATGTGTGAAGTGTATGATACCTGATGTGTGAAGTGTCTGATACCTGATGTGTGAAGTGTATGATACCTGATGTGTGAAGTGTCTGATACCTGATATGTGAAGTGTATGATACCTGATGTGTGAAGTGTCTGATACCTGATGTGTGAAGTGTATGATACCTGATGTGTGAAGTGT